CCATTTAATAACCTGCTTAAGTAAAGAGCTTAACAGTATCATGAACATCTTTCTGTTGTTAAACGAGAAAACTTATTATTAAGAAGCCTCCGGCTGAGGCTCCTAACCCCTGCTTCCTCTCTTTGCACTGTCAGGGCCTCTGGCTTGATAAAAAAAGTCACCAGAACCTTCACACACAGCCCAGAATCACTCACACCTGCCTGCTCCTCCACTGTCAGTGGGGAAATACGATAGCCCAAGTCCCTGCATGCCTGATTTATTCCTCTCACCATTCACCCCCTCATCCTTCTGCTCTTGATTTTGGTCAAGTTACAAAGGAGAATGAGTTGGAGAGGTCCATAGGGGATTCCAGTTCTCCTGGAAATCAAGACTGCAGGAGACAGGCATGAGGGAGTGAGCAAGCACTTGGGAAAGGGCCCGTGCAAAGCGGACTGAAGTTTGCATGCTACCGCTTGTTGCAACTGTGGGTGGAATTAGAGGTAAGGTAAGAGAAGTAAGGTGGGTGAGAAAGATGGCGGATACACTCTGCCTCCAAAACCTTAAACTTAAATCTTCCCATTGGCCCTGTAAAAGCCCCTTACTTTCTTCCCTTCATTTTCTATCCACTTGCCATTGCTTTAACCATTCCTTTGTTAAACTCCAGCTCACTTGGCCCTGTATCCTACTTGCATGGCACCTGCAGAGCTGCACCTCAGCCCTGGACCACCCCAGCCCTCTGCTTTCTCCTTGCCTGTACTTAGGTTGCTGTGTCAAACCCCAGCATTTCAGTACCTCTAAGTGAGCATTTATGGACTCCAATCTCAACTAGTCCATATGTGCACGCCACCAATCTTTTTGGCTCTCTTTCAGCTCTCTTTCCAATTCTACAGAGTGGCTTTTCCACATGTTCACCATTTTCTAAGTCTACATAGTTTTTACTCTTAGCACATGATTTGACCTCCTGTTTCACAAAGGAAGTAAAAATCCTTAGATAACCCCCTCAGTTTTCTCCCATCAACTCTGTAAATGGAACTGCATTGCTACCTGATTTTTCTTCTTTTTTCTTCCTGTTACAATGGAAGAGGCAGTTCCATTCCTGCCTCAGGCCAATTTCTACTCTTAAGCTTTTAAACTAGTGTCTTCAACATCATTACCTGATCAAATAATCCTATTGTTGTAGCCTCAATATTTTCTACAGCATTTGATTGTGTTCAAGTCACTCCCAGGATAAACCGTGACAAAGGGGCTGTCTTTGGCGCAAGTCCTTCTCCAGATACCACTCCAGCTCTTCTCTCCATCACAGGTATAGTGAACAACTATGGAACAGTTTACAAAATCATCCAGACTTCCAGATAAGTGACTGCCTGGGTTCAGAGGGTGAAAAGGAGAGAAGAGGAAGGGGAGAGAAACTGGGAATGATTGCTAATGGGTGTGGAGATTCTTCCATGGTTAATGAAAATGCTCTAAAATTGATTATGCTGATGGTTGCATGACTCTGTGAACATGCTAAAAACCATTGAGTTGCATACTTTATAATGAGTGAAGCCTATGATATGTGAACTATAGCTCAATCAAGCTGTTTTTAAAAAATAAGTTACTTGGCTGGACGTGGTGGCTCATGCCTGTAATCCCAGCACTTTGGGAGGCTGAGGTGGGTGGATTACCTGAGGTCAGGAGTTCGAGACCAGCCTGGCCAACATGGTGAAACCCCCATTTCTACTAAAAAATACAAAAATTAGCCAGGCCTGTTGGTGGCACCTATAATCTCAGCTACTCGGGAGGCTGAGGCAGGAGAATTGCTGGAACCTGGGAAGGGGATGTTGCAGTGAGCTGAGATTGTGCCATTGTACTCCAGCCTGGACTGGCAACAGCAAGACTCTGTCTGAAAAAAAAGCTTACTTTTGGCACAAAGAAAGACATAGTTAGGGGATATCATGAGGCAGTCGTTTTATGGTGATAGACAGTTCTGTATCCTGATTATGATGATGGTTACTTGCATCTACACATGGGCTAAAAGTTCACAGTACTATTCACTTCTGAAATACAAATAAATAAATATATTTTAAAGAGAGCATGTAAAAACAAACTGGGGAAATCCAAATAAGGTCTGTACCTAAGTTTATAGTATTGTAGAATACTGATGCTAAAGTTCTAGGTTTGACATGTACTAGAGTTATGTAAGGTATTGCCATTGGGGGAAGCTGGGCGAAGGCCACATGGGAACTCTTGGTACTATTTTTGAAGTTTCTTGTGAAATTTAAACTATCTCAAAATAAAAATGTTATTTGCAAATTTTGTTTCAGACTTCTCCCTTCTCCTTTCCAAATCACAGGGAGTCCCTTTTTCAAACAAATATATTCCTAGACATGGTTGAATGATCAGAGGTGGGCACCGGACCCAGCCAGCTTCACAGGAATTTTTTCCTGGATTTTTTTAACCTGTGTATTATTACATTATATCATTATACTACAGCTGTTGGTATTCTTCCATTGATAACTCTTTTGGAGTGTTTCCAGTTTTGAGCTATTATAAATAAAGCACTATAAAAATTCTTTTTTTTTCTTTTTTCTTTGCAGAACTTACAATCTATGAAAATTCTTGTACAAGTGTTTTGGGAGACATTTATTTTCATTCCTCTTGGATAAATGACTAGAAATAAAATTCCTGAGTCATATAGTATGTTTACTTTGTAAGAAACTGCTACACAGTTCTCCAAAGCAATCATACCATTTTACATTCCAACCAGTAGTGTCTGAGAGTTCTGTTTGTCTCATATTCTGGCCAATATGTGATATTGCTAGGCTTTGGTTTCAGCCTTTTTAGTGAGCATGAAATACTGTCTCATTGTGATTTTATTTTGCATTTCCCTGATGTCTAAAGATGTTTACCAATTTTTCATGAGCTTTATTGGCCATTTGTATATCTTCTTTTCTGAAATGTTGGTCAAATATTTGAAATTGGAAGACCAGTGATGCAACCATGTAAGGGCTTCTTCAACACAGTGTGCATTTTACCTGTCATATAGTAGATTAAAGCCAAGACAAGAAAAGCACTCAACAGTTCAAGCCTGACACTGAAATATCCTGGGGTTAAGTTGAACGTTTTAGTGAAATTATACAGAAGGGCTCTGCTTCTGCCTTTTCACCAGTCATTGATGCCAAAGTGCCTTTGCTATATACTCGGGCAGCTTCCTCATCTTTTCTGAACTTATCCTTCCTCCATTCCTACCAGGCAGGCTACAGAGTCCTGACAATGAATAGCTCCTGCTTGTCCTACCAAGTTTCCTTCATGGCTGAAGAGAGACTTCACCTTCTACTTCCTGTCCTATAATTCAGCTGTTAATTATTTTTTCTGAGTGCATGGATAAACAAGCAAATGAATAAATCAATAAGAAGCTAAGCCATCAGGACCTGAGTACAAACCCATCATGATAGTAACTGGCATCTCTATGAAGCACTGTACTTTATAACATGTTTTTACATATAAAATTTATTTTTATCTTCAAAACAAAGTTGTGGGGCATTATTACCATCTCCATTTTACAGATGAGGAAAATTAGGGCTCAGGGAGGTTAAATGAGTTGGCCACGGTCATCTTCCTTGGCTGTTGTTCCTGAGAAAGGAGAGCTGTGCCTGGGATTCACAGATAATGACATGGTGGAGACAACCCAGTCTCTATTACCACAGACTAGTGTTGGGAAGGAGGCAAGTGGGGACACAGAGCGCGAGGGAACCTAGTGAGCCCGAGATGCTGGATTCCTTTAATTCCCAAAAGTGCTGACCTAAGGTAGCTCAGGGAACAAGGGCAGGTCTTTGCGTGATATGAATTGAGAAGTCTTACCAGGAACCCGCATCAGAATCTACTTCCCTGGGTATACACCATACCTCAGTTTTCATAACCATCCCTCTCCTAATTAGGACAGTACTACTTAAGCTTTTCCATTGAAGTTTTCCAATTGCTGAGGCAATTTAGTCATTAGGGATGATTTGAGTCCCCACCACTGAGGCCAGGAACCCCAAATCTGTTAGGACTCTCCAGAGGCTGCCAGAGAATTGTGGCACTGAAGAGTCTTTAGGAGCAGGCAACTGATTCAAAGGGGCAGGGGACAAGGCCATAGAGATTTATTTGTATAGCACAGACATTGCTTACATGTAGACTGTGTTTTTACTTTGGGGAAGTTTTAGGGACTAATGGAGATTATGACAGGTGCCAAGGTCCCCTCAAGCCCCTCCTGGAAATATCAGTACAACTCACAAGTACAACTCATTCTTGGTATCTCTGAGAAGAGATGAAGAATTAGTCAGTATATTTCTTCTTAGTGATAGGAAATTTCCAAGATCCTTATACAATAGTACACACACTTAACCATCCACTGGGTCAGTAGGGTATCACAGTTAAGAGTTGGGCTTTAGAGTATAATAAACTTAGGTCAGACCCCTTACTATTATTCTACCAACCATACCATACAAGGTCAGTGCATATTAACTACCTTATTATTACTGGTGGAGAAAATATAAAGTGACAAAAAACCACTTCCGACTTAGTTAACTCGTATGAATTTGCATTTTAGAAATTTCAACAGCACCTACAAACACTGGAAAGATAGTGGTATAAAACCTGTGACTGGTATTATTTATCCAGACCACAGACAATGCTTTGTATCTAGATTGATTTGGACCTGTTGCAACAATTGCTCTGCAGGGTCATTTGTCTCTCATGCTGGCACTTCTGATACAGTGGAAGAGCATGGATTTTGGAATCTTACAGACCTGGGTTCAAATCCTGGCTCTGTCACGTGCTAACTGTGCCATCTTTGACAGGTTACTTAGCTTCTCTGAGTCACAGTTTCCTCGTCTCTAAAATAAGGGATAATACCTGCCTCATAGGGCCAGTGGAGGATTGAGTCATATAGTATCCATAGGAACCTGACAAATGTTGGGTGTCACATAGATGTTCAATTGTTCTCTCACAGTTTGAGTGAACAGAACAATTCACATCAGTTTGAAAACGATTGGTTGAGTTGCAGCATCCTGACATTAAGACCCCCATACCTAGAAGGACTCGTAGCCCCACTAACTGAGAGCAGAAAGATAAGTATTCTTCACATTCAACAGTGCTTTAAATGTTTTATTAACACTTTCTTCCTCCACTACCTGTAGGAACAGCCCCAGCCTCCACCTACTTTCTTTTACCTAACTTAAAATTCTTTCTTAACTTCTTCTTAATCTCCCTTTCTTGAACCTTCTTATTGCACTTAGCCTGGAAGCCTCAGGGAAGTGGCTCTGCTCACCCTGTAGTGAAGTGGGTTATGGGCACAGTGTCGCTGGTGATAGTCTGTGTGTTTCTAAGGCCTGCCTCAGGGCAGTTGGACTCCTGCAATATCCCTTAGTCAGGAGCGGTTCTGACTGCAGTGTTGATGGTGGTGGAGCAGACCCTCCATGGGGTCACTTTTCTGAGAGTCAAGCAGGAATCATCCATTGGCTCAGAACAACCCTGCCCCTCTTCCAGGGATGGAAGGCTAGAGGCCGTGCCAGGGCAGTCTGTTCTACAAGCAGGAAGGCAGGCAGGGCAGAAGTGAATGCCAGTGGACTGTGCAGACCTCAGCTTGGGGAGGGCATGTTCTCCTTGGAGTGGAGGTTGTTTCATTGCCAGGGAGCTGGAAAGTTGCCTGTGGCTTTGTCTTCCCATTTCCCGTACAGCTGTCTTGCACCTTTCTTCATTTGGTGGATGTGGGGGAGGATTGCATGCAGTCTGAGAAACTTGCTACGCTTATGGAAGGACCCAGACCAGACTTCTCCCTCCTCTCAGGGCAATGTACTTTGCCTGTTTCAAGAACGTCCTTTCCATTTCCTGTTCCTGGGGCTGCACAATGCGCTTCCTCTCTTCCTCTGGACATAAGCCTGAAGAAAGATATTCTCTCCTAGAAGTTTTTATCCCGGGCTGAATCCTTTTTTTCCATATCCTTTGCAATTGGATCTCCCAGAGCAGGAGGCCACACTTGCACCTATTTGTCAGAAGTGGGATTGGAGTAAGGAGCCAAGTTCAACTATCATGACCATGTGACATAGTGGTGTGCGATCATGTGACATATTGGTATGGGGATCATGTGACATTGGAATGGGGAACAAACAGCAGGAGACTCAGCATTTCAGGTAAATAACCAATTCAAGAATAACAATTGCTAGTATTTCCTGTTATCTTTTTAAAGCAAATTATCTGCTTTTTATTCACAAATTTAGAAGCTGTTTGGCATAATTTTAGATATCTAGAAACAATCTATCAAAATATGCCTCCTGAGCAACCTGGGGGTTCATTAGGTTAATTAATTAATAGTGGTTAATAAACTCTTTGAAATCCTCTTATTAATGGAGTCACCTAAGTCCAAAATACTATTATAACCAGGCCTAATGAGGTCAGTGGTTTAAAGAGAGGGTTTTAAACCATATATAAAGCTCCTCTAATGATCATTGGTACAAAACGAAGGTTAGAAAAGTCAGGTAAGTCTTCATGCTGGTGTTTCAAAGTTTCCTTCACAGCAGTAGAACCCCATTGATGTCTATTCCCCTGAAGCCAGGTTCGCAGTGATCTACTGACTAATGGATTCTCCAATCGTTAAACCTGTGTTATAGGACAAAGGCCACCGCTTTGTGAAAGCTTGAAGTGCAGTTTGCTGCTGAGTACAGAAGACCTTTGCAGACAGAGAGGGGGGATTTTCTCTGTAAGGTTGCAAACAAGGTTAGTGCTGGCTTTCTTATATCCTGTGAAACTTATAAGCTACCATTTAGATGAGATCAAGAAAGAGTTGATTGAGGAAGAAATGGAAAACAGGAAACCTCTTCTAAGTTATGTTCTCTGATGCTCCTGTTGGTATTTTATTTTGTTTTCCCTATGGAGACCCTAGTATGAGAATGGGAACACCCAGGCATGGTGGCATGCACATGTGGCACCCAGCTACTTGGGAGGCTGAGGTGGGAGGATTGCTTGAGCCCAGGAACTTGAGGCCATAGTGAGCTATGATTATGCCACTGCACTCCAGCCTGGGTGACAGAGCAAGATCCCATCTCTAAACAAAAAAATAAAAAACAAAACGGATCCTTTAAGGCAGAGGTAGGGCAAGTAACTAGAATGAAAGGATCAGTATTTTTTTTTTTTAAAAAAAGGGAACAAAATTGTGGGGTGGCTAAGCTTAGAGGTGGGATAGAAGTGTATATTTGGTTACATAAGTAAGAAGAAATACATAGCCCGTGTCAATATGAAATTGGATTGAAGAGGGTTGAGAGTTTACACTTAGGAAAGAGAGTGATCCAACAAACCATGTACTGAGCCTGTGAGAATACTATCTTGAAACTGGAAAATGAGTATTGAATTGGAAATAACTCTGCACTTTTAAAAATATGAAAGCAAATTTTTCTTTAGGAAACTTTCAAATTTTAAAATTAACCAGTTTCTAATTCAAATCAAAACAGGTCCTGGAAGATAAGATTCCCACCATGCTAACTTCTGTGGTGTTCTGGGGACTAATTGCCCTCATTGGTAAGTCACTGGCTGAGACTTAGCATTGTTCACAGGGTGTCCACGAAAACCTCCAGCACAATCATGAATCAGAAAGAGCAATGACAGTGGGCTCTCTTTCTGACCAGCTTGGCCATTAATCAACTATTATTTCTATAATTAACAGTGTGTTCTGTTGGCGAAACAGGTGAAAAACAGGATCAAATAATTCTGTGGGAATTTCAGATAATCTCGTATTTATTGATCTGCTTACTTCCTGTCTGACAATATACCTATCAGGCTCGATATCTTACTGAGGGGTATGTGGAACAGGGCCTTGGAAGCAAAACACATGAAGAGAAAATTATCAATGCCAAGCAGTGAATGAGAGTTAAATGTGAACAGGTGGGAAAAAAAACACTAGTCTGGGAGAAGTTTGGGAGGAAGAGCTCGCATCCAGCTAGGATGCTTAGACATGAAAGGCTTTTTGGGGGGATGTGTCAGTTGAAGAATGCTTGGTGATTTAATAAGAAAAGGGAAGAGCCTGCTGGAGAGGAAGAATGACTTCAGTAAAAGAGCAGAGGAAGAAATGAATGAAAATTCTTTGGGTTAGTGTGGCCAGGGACAGAAGAGGGGATTTCTGGGGGAAGGCTGGAAAGATAGGTTGGTGAGTTAGTAAAGGATCTTGAATAAGAGAATGTTAAAACTTTGACTTAAGCAAAATGAAAAGCCATTATGAGCAATGTTCAAGTTGTCTTTAATTATAGAATAATGACTGAAAAGAAAGTGTTTCTAAAATGTTTAATTCTAAACTTGGAAAAACAAGGCTACCCAAAACCAAAGCTAATTTCCAGTTACTTATGGTCAAAAGCAGGGCAACATAGTTTTAAATTTTTGCTCCTTTTTAAATTTCCAGGTGAGAGCAGAATTAAATAGCCAGCAGATTAATTATGAAGTACCATAAAAGCTGAAAGGTGACTCTAATTTAAAAGGGCCTGTGTGCTTATAATGCCTGCACAGGCAGTGGAGGGAGGGTCCATGATCATATTCCATTTCCCTTAAAGCAGTGGTTCATAAACTTAGGTGTAAGAGTCAACTGGGAATGCTGGTTAAAATGCAGGTTCTTTGGCCTTATACTGCAAGATTCTGGTTCAGTAGATCTGGTGTGAAGAGCCCAGTGATAAGCATTTTTAATAAGCATCCTGGGTAACTTTGATGCCTGTGGTCGGTGGGCCACTCAGTGAGCCTGGCAAATACTGCCTCCCAGTGAAAGGATATTGAACCTGTCAATATATGGACACTTGATCCAGATAATTTAAACAACCCATTTCTGACTCATTCCTTCATCCATCCAACTATCCATTCATCCATTCAGCAAATGTTTATTAAATGTCTACTTTGTGCCAAGCATTGTTACAGGTGCTGAGGAGGATATAGCAAAGAAAAACATCGGTATCTGACCTGATGAAATTTATCTTCTAGTGAGATGAATGGGCAGAAAGAGAGTGAGAGGAATAAAGGAAGAGAGAGGGAAAGAATGAGAGGAAGGAAGGAAGATAAAAACATTTCACCTGTAAAAATTTTTTACCTGTTTCTAACATATAAGGACCAGCTCTAGCACAAAAAATTGTTCCTGGTTCATCTTGAACATTTCCTGCCCCAGGCCAGAAATCAGCCATTATCCTGAGGAGGACTGGTTCCTCTTAGCAGAAAATGGCATTTAGAGACCACAGTGTGAGAAGTAGGAGTGCTCCATTGCTATGGAGTTGTAATTTCTTTCAGGTATTTTCAGTGGCAGGAACTAGAAAATACACATTTTAAAAATAAAAGCAATTATGCTTTGAGATATTTCACATTTATATTTAAGAATGCAAACATTTTACATCAGTTTTATATTTGTACTTCTGCTATCCTACACTAAAAATCCTGTGAGAATACTATCCTGAAACTGGAAAATGAGTATGACATTAGCATTGTTACTCATTTACATATGATAGTGTCTAATGACATTAGACATTAGCATTATTTACACATGCAATTTGTGAATAACGCTAATTTGAATATGTAAAGTACTTATTTACATACAATGGTGTCAAAATAACTATGACAGTATTACCAATCAATAATGAGACAGTTAATATAATTTAAGATTTTCTTGTAAGTATTTATGTTCACAGGATGTATTCCTATGCAGCATTATTCACATGTGGATATATTTTAAAGTCACGAGATAATTCTGCTCTGTTTATTAATCTTTTAATTTGATATGGAGTTATGTTCATTTGTTTTTCTTTTTTGATTCCTTTTTCCCTATTTAATTTTTAAATTTATGAGAACATTTACATGGTTCCAAAATAAAACTTTAAAAAAGATAGTCTATCCTCTATCCCTTTTCCCTCTAATTTTCTCTTTCCCTCTCCATAACTATTTTTATTAGTTTCTCATTCATCCTCATATTGTTTCTTTTGAAGATATGAGCAAATCACACAAAATAGACAGTTGTATTTTCTCCCCTTTCTTACACAAAGAGTCCAATTCCATAAATACTATTCTGTCCCTGGAGAGAATTTTACAGGAGTATATAGATGTCTTACTCATTCATTTCACAGCTGCATAGTACTCCACTATGGATGTAGCTTCCCTAACTCAACCAGTCCCTATATTGATGACATTTGTGTTGTTTGCAGTCCTTTGCTGTTATAAACAGTGCTGAAATGAACAGCCTATCACAAAACTGAGTTCCACAGCAGTGCATGAGACAGCCTATTTCCCCACAACTTCTCCCACAGAGCATATTGCCAAACCTTTGGACTCTTTTCAACTAAAGAGTTGGAAAATGCTGTCATAATGATATTTGCATGTGGCCTTTCTCTTCTTTTGAGTGTGGTTTAACATCTTTTATATATTTAAAAATCATTTTCATTTTTTGTCCATAAATTGTCTACATATTCTGCTGATAAGGTGATACTTGGGCAGAGACCTGAAGGCAGAATCATGTAGATACCTGAAGGAATAGCATTCTAGACAAAAGGAATCACAAACATAAAGGCTTCAAGGCTGAAACCTGCCTGGTGTGTTGAGGGATAAGTGCAAAGAAGAATGTGGCTGGAGGAGAGTGGGTAAAGGGAAGGAGAAGTGGGAACAGGAGCAGAGGGCTAGATCTAGTAGGTCTTGAAGACTGCAGGATGGACTTAATTGTTCCTCTAAAGAGGGAGAAAGCCACTGGTTAAGAGAGAACACTGATAGCAGCCCATGCCTTTCCCACAGGGCCATTCTGTCTACTAGGTAGAGGATGGGCTGCAAGAGTGAAGCAGGGAGGTCAGTTAGGGGGCTGGTAGGAGAGTCCAGATGAGCAATGATGCTGGTCTGGACCATGGCAGTAGCAGAGGTGGGAGAAGTGGTTAGATTCTATTTTTTTACATCAAACATTTTAACAAAATACGTATATATTTTTTTGAGATTTGAGACAGGGTCTTATTCTATTGCTCAGGCTGGAATGCAGTGACACCATCAAAGCTCACTGCAGCCTCGACCTGCTCGGTTCAATCAATCTTCCTGTCTCAGCCTCCTGAGCAGCTGGAATTACAGACATGTGCCACCACATCAGGCTACGTTTTGTGTTTTTTGTAGAAATGAGTTTTGCCATTTGACCTAAGCAAAATGAAAAGCCATTATGCTTTTCATCTTGCAAAAGTCTGGGCTCAAGCAATCCTCCTGCCTCAGCCTCTCAAAGTGCTAGGATTCTAGGCATGAGCCACCACATCCAGCCCAAAGTACTGTCTTATAACAAATATTTGGACTCTTAAGGTTCAAGTTAACAGTCCTCAAAGCCATTGGAACAAACTTTTCAGTATTACAGAAAATAACCTTGTATCTCCTTTAGCAAAAGCTCTACCTCTCCTTTAACAGGTAGACTTGGACAGAAACATGTGCCACGTCCTGCATTGCACAGGGGTTTAAGGACCTAAGAGGGAACAGTGGGGAATAAGGAAAGACACAGACACAGACAGAGAGATATAAAAACCTGGGCCAGGCGGTCCAGGAGGTGAGGATGTCAGGCTCTCTGGCCCTGACCTGTCTCAGCGTACTTTATTTTATATGTTCACAAAGCACATAGCAGAGGGAGGGTGGAGTTAGTTAGAACAGCCTGTGGTTATTATTCTCATACTTCAGTTAGCATACTTCAGCTAAAAACTATCTTGCAGCAAGGTCAGCAAAAGCTGGTTATCTCCCCAGGCCCTTCTGTTCTTCTCTGAGACATACACATGCTCCTATAGTGGCTTCACTTCCCTGAAGTTCAACCAAAGTTCACAGCAGCCGTGAGGGGGTGTGCTACTCTGGCTCCCTAAAGAAACTCACTTTCTAATGACAGAACAAAAAAACAAGAATAGATTGGACTTAAATTATTTTGGCAATTTCAATTTTTACTTCTAATTTTATTAAATAGACATATATAGGAACCCAACTTCATGGTAAATGATACAAAATAAGAATATATTTAAATTGTTATGGTGCCCTTCTTTCTTATTTTTCTAAACAAAAGCAAATTGTTAATCCAGATCTTCACATCCCCAGAAACATTTGTGTCAGAAGTGTTTTAAAAATTCCTCTCAAAACAGGGTGTGCGTGGTGGCTCATGCCTGTAATTCCAGCACTTTGGAAGACTGAGGCTTTTGGTCAAGAGATCGCAAAACAATACATACTGGGGATTCTAAAAGGAGAGAGGGAGGGAGGGATGGAGAGAGGGAGGGAGGGATGGAGAGAGGGAGGGAGGGATGGAGAGAGGGAGGGAGGGACGGAGAGAGGGAGGGAGGGACGGAGAGAGGGAGGGAGGGATGGAGAGAGGGAGGGAGGCAAGGATTGAAAAACTACACATGAGGTATTGTGTTCACTACTTGGGTGAAAGATCAGTAGAAGGCCAATCCTCAGCATGATACAATATGCCAAAATAACAAACCTGCACAGGTACCCCATAAAACTTAAAAAAAAAAGTCATAAAAAAAAAAGTCAAAAACAAAACTCTCAAGGTTCTTGCTGAAAAACCTTCTGTCAGTTTTAATTCTGAGTGAGACTATGGCATGGTATGACTACAGTGCCTATAATCCCAGCACTTTGGGAGGCCAAGGAGAGAGGATTGCTTGAGCCCAAGAGTTTGAGACTAGCTTGGGCAAATAGCAAAACCCCATCTCTACCAAAAGATAAAATAAGCCAGGCATGATGGTGTGTGCCTGTGGTTCCAGCTACTCAGGAAGCTGGGGCTCTCAGCGAATGTTTGAGCCCAGGTGTTTGTGGCTGCTGTGAGCTATGATCATGCCACTGCACTGGCGCATGCCTGTAATCCCAGCTACTTGGGAGGCTGAGGCAGGAGAATTACTTGAACCTGGGAGGCAGAGGTTGCGGTGAGCCGAGATCATGTTGCCTGGGCAACAGAAGTGAAACTCTGTCTCGAGAAAAAAGAAACAGAGATGAATTTCCTAATATTTTGCATAGTGTCTTAGGATTAAGTGCTGTGTTGATACAAAACAAAAGATCAGAGCAGAGTGGATATTGGGGGACTTCTGTCTGATGAACAAATAATGGCAACAAGGGAGTTGGGCAGTTCTGTCTGTGGCCTTCACCTTTGGTTTAGTGATGTTCATTGCAGCAACCCAAGCAGTATCTTCTCACAGGCTTCGTGTGAGTTACACTTCTGCCTCCTAGGCACTTCCAGGGGCTCGTACGCCTTCACTCACTCAATGAACCCTCACCTACATCCGCGCCTATACCACGGCTGCTACGGGGACATCATGACCATGAAGACTTCTGGAGCCACCTGTGATGCAAACAGTGCGATGAACTGTGGTAAGTGAAAAGCAAAGCAAACGTTTGGCTTTCCCCCTTTGATCATTTTCAGATTCTTTCTTAGGAACTGACTTAATTTTGAAAAGGTATCATCATCATTATGACAATAGTATCAAAATTAAAAATTAAAAAACACAATCCTGACCAACCTAACAATCCATTTCCTTTCATTTTCCACCCTGTTCTATCCAAACCTTGTTCAGCTGTGTTTATTTCCACATATTGAAACTACTGCTTGAATAAATATTAGACTCTGGCTTTGTTTTCTGGGTGGTGCTGCTGTGTTTGCTTCATGTTACAGCAGGCATATCTGAAGGAAGCCAGGATGCTCTGCACACCTCCCCTCTTCTGTAATCCTGTTCCAAAGTCTTCATCATGTTATCCTGATTTTAGGGTGTTGGAGCTGGCAGCAACCACAAGATCACATCGGACCCCAACCCCTCCATTTACAAATCAGAGCTCAGAGATTCAGCAAAAAGGGAAGACTTCCCAATAGCATAGAACCAGGTAGTGGCAGAGCCAGGCTAAAACATACATTGGCTGACTCCTAGTTCAACAGGTTTCTCAGTGCATCAGTGTGGCAGAATTTTTTTTTTTTGAGATGGAGTCTTGCTTTGTCACACTGGAGTGTGATGACATGCTCTTGGCTCACTACAACCTCCACCTCCCAGGTTCAAGTGATTCTTCTGCCTCAGCCTGCTGAGTAGCTGGGGTTACAGGCACCTACAACCATGTCTGGCTAATTTTTGTATTTTTAGTAAAGACGTGGTTTCACCATGTTTGCCAGGCTGGTCTCGAACTCCTGAGCTCAGATGATCCACCTGCCTCAGCCTCCCAAAGTGCTGGGATTACAGGTGTGAGCAATTTGAAGGAGAAACAGCAGAAGTGGCACCTATGGGAGGTTGTAGACCTGTTTCTGCAGTCAGAGATAAAAAGGATGTCTTAGAATAGTTGTCCCAAGCCATTAGCAGTGATGAGAGGCTGTGGCTAACTTAGCAAATTAAAAAAAAATGGTTTTCTTCTGAAGTAGAAGAAACAGTTTCTTTTCTTTTTTTTTTTTTAAAGATGGGCTCTCACTATGATGCCCAGGCTGGTTCCTAACTCCTCCTGGGCTCACGCAATCCTCCTGTTTCAGCCTTCTGCATAGCAGAGACTGACTTCAGGCACCCACTATCATGCCCAGAAAAAACAGGGTTTTTTTCCTATTTACATAGGGATCCGTGGTTCCGAAATGTTTGCTGAGATGGATTTGAGGGACATAAAACCTTACCAGACTCTGATCAAAGAAGTCGGGCAGAAACATTGTGTGGACCCTGCTATCATCGCAGCCATTATCTCCAGGGAAAGCCATGGCGGAGCTGTCCTGCAAGATGGCTGGGACCACAGGGGGCTTAAATTTGGCTTGATGCAGGTATTTAGCTAGAAACTTTCTATCCACCCACTTCATCCCTCCTCAGAAGCTCAACCCCAACTAGAAATCCATTTGCAGTGCTTCCAAGTCCCAAAATACCCTGGCAACTGGCTAAAGGTACTCCAGCATAATTTTTCTTTTTGAGACAGAGTTTCATTCTTGTTGCCCAGGCTGGAGTGCAATGGTGTGATCTCGGCTCACTGCAACCTCCACTCCTGGGTTCAAGTGATTCTCCTGCCACAGCCTCCTGAGTAGCTGGGATTACAGACACGCACCACCACCCCCAGCTAAATTTTTGTGTTTTTAGTAGAGATGGGATTTCATCTTGTTGGCCAGGCTGGTCTCAACTTCCTGACATCAGGTGATCCACCCTCCTGGGGCTCCCAGAGTGCTGGGATTACAGATGTGAGCCTCTACGCCCCACCACTCCAGAATAATTTGATCTGAGACTTCTGTAACACATCTTTATATTTCATTCAAGGCTTATTCATTATTAGATATCTTTTAAAAAGTACTTTAGGAGTTTCATGTCTACCATTCTGCAATAAATAATATACTAAAACTGAGAAAATCTTATAAACAGCCCTATTGTTATAGGTATTCTCTTGGGGTTCATGAAGCAGTACATTTCATCCATGTGGATCAAAAGACTATACAATTAAGCCCTACTTGAAACAACTTGTTCCTTTGGGTAAACTGGAAGAAAGGGATCCAAATTATCTGGATATTTGCTTCCAGGATGGATCTTAAATTGTCTGTAGAAATACCGACTTCTAGTCTGCCCAGTTAGAAACAAATTTTTCACTGAATTAGCTGGATAATTATTTCTTACTATAAAAGTCATAAATGTCTAGACTTTGGGTGTTATTTGTTTCAAAACAACTTTTTAGTTCTTTTTTTGTATATTAGAATGTTCAGTTAAAACTGTGCCATGTCCATTTCTCCCAAACCTTACTTCATTTCTCTGACTCATTTCTATGAAAGAAAGAACAGTAGAATTAACTCTTTGGGAATAAAGGCTGGTATCTATGACTTGAATACAAGGAGAGGAAATTAGAAATGGCAGAAAAATGTGTTACCTCATCCAGTTGCTGACTTTATTATCTGAATTTTCTAGCTTGACAAACAAAAGTACCCCCCGCTTGGTGCCTGGGACAGCAAAGAACACCTTTCACAGGCTGCTGGGATTCTAACAGATGGAATTAAGGCAATCCAGAAAAAATTCCCCACGTGGAGTGTTGCTCAGCACCTCAAAGGTAGGCTGTATTCTAAGTACTCTGTTTAAATGAGCAATGAATGAGACCGCTGAAGTGTGACCTGAGACTCCTTGGGAGCATTTCCACAGGGTCAGCAGTGGGCCTGGGAGGAGGTGTCTAGAGGCTGCATTTGCATTCTCTGAACCACTGAGTTACTTTGAGTGGCCCTCCACCCCCAACTTCCATTTCCCCTTCTGCAGAATGTTGGGGTTCTTATTCATTGTTTATTGAGCCATTGAATGATACCTTGAAACATAGTGAGACCCTGTTTCTACCAAAATAAAAAAAAAATTAGCTGGGCATGGTGACACACTCCAGTAGTTCCAGCTACTCAGGAGGCTGAGGCAGGAGGATTGCTTGTGCCTGGGAGGTTGAGAGATTGCAGTGAGCATTGATTATATTACTGCACTCCATCCCGGAAGACAGAGAGAGACCCTCTCAAAAAAAAAAAAAAAAAAAAAAAGAATATGTTTGCCTACCTCTCATAGGTTTTTTCCTGTTATAATAAACTGTCGGCCAGGTGCGGTGGCTCACGCCTGTAATCCCAGCACTTTGGGAGGCCGAGGCAGGTGGATCATGAGGTCAAGAGATCGAGACCATCCTGGTCAACATGGTGAAACCCCGTCTCTACTAAAAATACAAAAAATTAGCTGGGCATGGTGGCACGTGCCTGTAATCCCAGCTACTCAGGAGGCTGAGGCAGGAGAATTGCCTGAACCCAGGAGGCGGAGGTTGCGGTGAGCTGAGATTGTGCCATTGCACTCCAGCCTGGGTAACAAGAGCGAAACTCCGTCTCAAAAAAAAAAAAAAGAACTGTTTCTATTCTCTGTTTCAAGGTCCTTGAAGGCAGGGATCAGGACCAGGCATCTTTTTCTCTGGATATGGGAGCAGAGCACAATTATGTTAAACACATACATAACTACTAAAGATAAAATTCTAGGGTAAAATAGCACACACATGCATATGTACACATACCCTAAGAAATAAGTGTGTCTTGGGTACCTTGCAGTCAGTGTGGCACTTTTCCTGGCACACAGTAGGTGGCTTGAAAACATTTCCTGAATGAATGAGTGAGTGAATAGATGAGTGAATTATTGAATAAATGAGAGACTGTTACAAGCATTCTCAGCAGACGATAACTGGGGGTCTAGTTCTGCCAGGTCTGGATTATGTAAAAAAGCAAATCTGATTTTTGCAACAACAACAAAAAGAGACTTTGGAAAAAGAGAAAGAAAACAATCTGAAATTTTCCCAGTGATTCTTGGGGTAGCGTTTCCTTTCAGAAAATGAGAAAGGGAGGAGGATTTTGGATTGCCTGCTTTGGAAGATTTGCCTGGGGAGCTAACATCTTGGCAATGCTCATTGCTTATTTCTGCAGGAAGTTAACATTTGAGCCTAACTCTCTGTGTTTCATTTCAGGTGGTCTCTCAGCTTTTAAGTCAGGAGTTGAAGCAATTGCCACCCCAGCAGACATAGACAATGACTTCGTCAATGATATCGTTGCCCGAGCTAAGTTCTATAAAAGACAAAGCTTCTAGGCAAAGCTCTGCAGGTGGGCCAGGTTGGCAGAGTGCTCAGATGGCCACATTTGGGAGTTTTATATGAATGTGTTGTACTCAACACTGGCAAAGAAATGATTAAAATCATAAAAGAAAATTCATTTTCTGATTTTCTAAATGAAAGTAAGAATTGAGAAAAGGAAAGAAAAATAAAAGAAACCCACTCAGTTCATAATATGGTTCCCAGGAAATGTACATATACGTATACATATACATATACATATACATATACATATACATATACATATACATATACACATACACGCACACGCACATGCACACACACACACACACACACACATAAAATTACTTTGTAGTAAATGTGAATATCATGGCAAGTGGCATCTACATATTCCAGCGAGGCTTCATTTTAGCCCACGATTCCAATGCCCACCTACTCCCTGTCTACCGGAATTGCTAACAAGTTAAATAAGCCTTACTCAAGCTTTCATTTTTCCCAGTATCTTCCCAAACTACTCGGGCTTTGCTTATGAGAAATTCCTGGCTCGTAAGCCAGCCAACTCATGGGACAATGAAGGAAATAGGGATGGAATTCTAGTTTCATAGGAAACTGAGAGCCAAGTGAGGTGAAGCTGTCATTCAAATTAGGTGCTCCAAGTCCTTCAAACCCACAGCAGCCTCCTGTGCTTTCTATTGTTTGTGAAGATCCAGGGACTGGCTTTTCTTTTCAGCAGTTGCTGCCTCACACTTTCTTTCATGGGGTCCTCCCCTCACAAAACATGACTGAAGATAAGCATGTAGGACCCAAATTAATTATGGTTCTTTGGTTCCAAGCAAAGTAACCACTTATAGAAATTTTAAGCAATAAAAGGAAATTACTGGAAAGCTAACAAAGCCAAGTGAGAAGGTCAAGGAGGTGAAAAGACACCAGGCAGCTTTGGGGTCTGGACAGCAGGAATGGGTTAACCGTATTTTACAGCATCCCCAGTAAGTGAATGAATTAGCACCCTCACCAATACTCATATATGTACTCCAAACATCTTTTTCTGATTATTTCTTCATTCTGCGTCACTTTCATAGTGCCAGGAGAGGTTCGGAGCTGTTTATCTTGGTCACATACACACCTACCCCTTGGCTATTTTGCCCACACTACCCCCAGTGGAGAAGAGACAACTCTCTAGAAGGAAACTGTGTGCTGTTTGTGGCCTTTACTTCCACAGTCCTTTCGTCCCAAAAGGATGAAAGCTTGAGGAGAGGACACAAGCACTAACATGTTGGAGGGTAAAGTGGATGTGTGATGGTGTGGCCCTTTTGGGCCTTTAACTCCCTTTGGAGATGTTCAATGAATGTTTCAGCCCGTCACTTTTGTTTCTGAAAAGGATTCAAAATCATACGCATCTGCCTCTGAGCCCCATTGGAGAAAGCCAAGTAAATCCTTCTTTTCCCACTGATCTCTCAACCTAGCCTGAAGATTTGACCCAGGCAGAACCAGAAATCCTCGTTTCACTGGACAGGGCAACGGTCAGTTGGTGCGGCAGGCCCTCAGCATGTAGGCCGATAGCTTCTATGACAGTTTGAGGTCCATGCTGTACCAGGTGTTAAGTATTTTTATTATCCTCCCTGCATGTGGGTCATCCAGGATGTTCTTCAGATGTTCACTTTGCTCAGGAATGATTTCTTTTGGGCTTTCTCTCATATGCATGAATTTCATCTAATCAGTAGCCCCTTCAATGTCACCACTTCAACAATAAAGTACATCTAGATGAGATCACTTTCAAGTAATTTGAAAAACAAGAAATAGTACGCTCACGTGTTTCCCAAGTGTATTCCCCTAGTATTCTCTTGATGACTAGGATGCCAAGAGATGTCCCATGGGAGACCTCACATTCAAGTTGTCTTAGTTTGGTTTCCCAGAAGCAGAACTTAAGGCAAGGATTCAAGTGTGGCCAGTTGGTTTTGGAACACTGGTATGAGGTGGCTCGATGATACAGGAGCAGTAGGACAGCCAATAAAACATGTCAGCAAGCCAACCACCATAGCAGGCACCTGAGCTCAGCCTTGCAGGAAAACTGCTAGGAATGGTGTGGCGCCCACACCACAGAATTATTCTGCCCAAGGTACAAGGAGCTGGGGTATTTACATCAACTCCTGACAGCCATTGCGTGAGGGATCTGCCTGGAGGGCTTTGGGGGAAAGTGTTAATTCTTTGGTACTCTGGTTTGCCTTGCAAAAAAGCAGCACACATTTCTGAATTTCCAAGGAAAAGGGGCTGCAGGCACAGAGGTACAAATACTGGCAGTTGGAAATCAACTGAAAATTCTAAAGGACCTAGGGATGTGGGAGGGTGCTAACAGCATTGACTTTAACAGGGTTAGGTACACCTGGAGGTTGGGAATATCCTTCAAATATTGCTTGTTTTCATCTATGACTTAACAATATGGTAAGAACAGTCTGAAAGTAACACATAGCAAGTTTTGTTATATCTGGTGATTTTCATGCCAAGATTCTCCACGACCCTTTAGAATTCATAATTAGACATAATACAGCTATCCCAGTCCTTATCCTCTTCCCATCTCCATCTAGCTCAACAGCTGATTCCCAGGGATTTGCTGAGAACAGTGTCAAAGATGTTAGATGCAAATGTGGCACCATTAGATATGATATCCAGTCATCCTCAATTTTCTTTATATTTTTTGCCTGTGCCCCTTTCAGGCAAAAAAGGGGCCTGAATTATTATGTGTCTACATTATATTATGTAAAATAGCACTTCTTTTATAGCTGTCCAAAACTAGGTTCTTAGGCCAGGTGTGGTGACTCATGCCTGTAATCCCAGCACTTTGGAAGGCCATTGCAGGAGGATTACTTGAGCCCAGAAGCCACTTGAGCCCAGGAGTTCAAGACCAGCCTGGGCCACATGGCAAAACCCTATCGCTACAAAAAAATACAAAAATTATCCAGGCCTGACAGCACATGCCTGCAGTCCCAGCTGCATGGGAGGTTGAGGCTGGAGAATCACCTGAGCCCGGGGAGGTTGAGGCTGCATGCAGGGAGTCATGATTGCAGCACTTCATTTCAGCCCAGACAACAAAGTAAAACCTTGTCTCAAACAAAAAATTCCAAAACTAAAACAAACAAACAAACAAACTAGGTTCTTACTGCAGGACGAAGAAAAATTGTCCTAGAAATAGTTTTTTTTTTAGGTTTTGAAGGGAAGGCGAGGGTTAAAGAAAGACACAGAGAGAGAGAGAGAGAGTGGTGGCTCTACAGCAAGTGCAGGCTTTATGTCCAGCATAAGCCCTTCAGAGGTGGGGACCAGCTTAATCCCAGTGCCCACCGCTGCTTACAGTCTGGGGCAATTATAGGCTGGGCGAGAGTGGTCTGGAAGGGGTGGGGCATGGCCTGCTGCCTGGGAAAATGTTGATAACATGTTCCCATGATTAGGCACTTTGGTGCTTGTTCTGGTGGATTGTGATGTTCCTTAAAGTTTCTTCCAGCAGAATATAATAAGAGAGTCAGGAGGTTGGGCAGGCTGTTTCTTACAACCTGAACCCCTGTGGAATGTTTTACTTTGACTAAGGTCTATGACATGACAGGGACAGGGAGGGGGGCCTACAAAATGGTACAATTTGAACTAACAATTTTCAAAGCAAAAAAAAAAAAAAAAAAACCTAAAAATATTTTCCTTGCTGGACTTACAATTATATTCTCATCCTTTCTTTTTCTCGGCCATTAATTCCTCACTTGCTAAGAGAACTGTGACAATAAGAAATACATGTTTGATCTCTGCAGCGTGGCGCAGGGGAAGCAAGGGGAGGAAGTCTCTGCTTCCACGTCTGTGACCTCTAAGAACGCTCTCCACACTGATGATTGAAGTGCTGTGTGCTGTGATGCCTTCTATTTTACAATACTAGGGTATTTTACAATACTAGGTAGGGGAAACATTCCCCAGGCAGACACAATGTCCAGTCCCATAATATAACCAGGTAAGAGATGCAGCAAGCACTTATTATGAAGCCTGTTGAAAAACACTAGCTCACCTACAAACTTTAATTCCACCAACCACTACATTCCTAACTGTGGCCTCCATTAGGACTTAATTAGCAGGTTTTAGTTTTACAATACTAGGTATTAAGAAGCGTTAGGCTGGGCATGGTGGGTCATGCCTGTAATCTCAGTGCTTTTGGAGGCTGGCTGATAACCGGAGGTCAGGAGTTCAAGATTAGCCTGGCCAACATGGTGAAACCAGGTCTCTACTAAAAATACAAAAATTAGCTGGGCTTGGTGGCACACACCTGTAATCTCAGCTACTGGGGAGGCTGAGGTAGTAAACTCTTGAATCCAGGAGGCAGAAGTTGCATTGAGTTGAGATGGTGCCCCTGCACTCCAGCATGGGCAACAGAGTGAGACTCTGTCTCAAAAAAAAAAAGTGTCTGCCTCAGGGCTTCATCAATGGGTTTTGGTACAACAGTGTGGGTACTTCTATATCCAGTCCCAGTAACCTTTTCTCCACACCCTCGACCATTTTACCTACTGATGTAGATAAGGCTTTACGTCCCCACTGAGGAGGGGTAGAACCAAGGAACTGTGTCCCTTTTGTCAATCTTTATCTTGATGAACCTGCTAACCACTGTCACAGTGATGGCTGGTCAGGTTTCTCCTGGTAAACTTTGCCTCCTGGCTTTCTAAATTTTTCCAAATTGGAGTAAATAGAGCAGGCTTGTTTGGAACCCTTTAATGTTGAGGGACCGGCAGGGGGCCCCTTGGGCTTGCTCAACCTTTGGTGGTGCTGTGTTAAATAGTTTGTTTTAATCCGTTACTGTCCGTTTTATTCATCCCATTCCTTAATAACCATCTAAGGCTTTCTACCCTGCTGGACAAGTCCCACAACTCTCCTCTTTTTCTTCTTTGTTTATCTCCTGTCAGTATTTTCTTTAAACACCTTCTTTCTTTTTCTTTTTTTTTGAGACAGAGCTTCACTCTTGTTGCCCAGGCTGGAGTGCAATCATGTGATCTCGACTCACTGCAACCTCTGTCTTCCAGGTTCAAGTGATTCTCTTGCCTCAGCCACCTGAGGAGCTGGGACTATAGGCACGTACCTCCACGCCCAGCATTTTGTTTTTTTTTAAGTAGAGATGA